GTCGTTGAAAAACATATGCCAAAAGCTTCCGTTATTTATTTTGGTCTCACGGCGGGGATCAGCTGTTGAACTGCTGCTGTCTTTTGCCGGGCTCCAGTGATTGGCAAATCTGGGTGATGCCTTCTGATATGATTTAGCATGTTTGGCGTGTGTTACCATTAGCATACCGCACCACTGTAGAACAACGGCGACACACCGTCCTCGTCCGATCCACCACTCGTACACTCCATCGTTATTGTAGTCCACAGGGAACCCGAAATGTTCCCACACAGCTGATTTAAAATAAGCAGGTGGGTTCTAGCTCCTGTGTGTTATCTGAAATCGCCATACTAACTTTTCTTCTTCTTGTATTTTGTTCGTTTTGTTGTTGTGTTTCTTCTTGTTCTTCATTTGTTGTTTAAGGGCGGCTGGCAAACAGCTTTTAGGCGCAATACCGCCCCCTGGATTATATATAGTGTAGTGGATACTGCCCTGAATTACACTTTTTTCCCACTCATAAAAAAAAGGCGTATTCGTCGTGCGTGTGCCGAACCGTGACGTCCGAACCGTGACGGTACGGGACGAATACGGATACCGTTACACCCCTAATATCCATATAACGGGAAAAACTCGTTTAACTGATCTTTTTCATTTTTTTCTCCAAAAAAAACACAATGCTAACAGTGAGCCTCTGAATTAGCCCCAAGAGAAAAATGCTAACCTATTACTGCACCGAAAATCACTCCTAGCTCCCTTATTACTTATCCTAGCTGCACATCAAACACATCGTTTATGATCGTAAAGACACAGAATCTAACGGTGCCCACCTCAACACTGAAAGATACAAACTCGCAACATTATCAACAAAAACGTACATCAAAACATGTGGCGCTAGGTAGCCTACAACGCTAACATGGCTTACCTTGGTTTTGTCTTGTCAAAACTGGTCTTCAATGGCATTAAAACGATAACAACGATGCTGTAGTTAATCCATAGGTTAATATCCAATGTGGCTGTGTCCCCTTTGAAATGTTCTGATTATCTATAAGCAATAAAACTGCAATTCCGTTTTAAAATATCAGAGCATTCCTACGCTCTGTAGCAAGATTGAATGCGTGAAGACGCAACCATATTTTTTTTTACATGAGTGTGTGCGGGACGATTTCCCTTCGATTCTATTGGCTCTAACGGTCAGAAAGAGATGTCACAAATCGAAGAAGGGGGGCCAGAGATAAGGAAAATCCACCCAAATGGCCCCAGAAGAGGTTTTCTTTGCTAAATCTGTCTAAAAAGGTCAAATATCACTTGTTTTACATCAATCTTGATACAGGGTACTTATTATATGTTGTACTTTGGATTCCAAAAGCTTTTAGTCTACTAACCCATCATCCAAGGTTAGTTTTCACTATAAGTACAACATATCTTTTGGACGGACACTATAATTTACAGTTTTTTTTACCATATTCAATCTGAATTTTCTTTAAAATAAAAAAACATCTATATTTATTCTGACTTTTCTACATCCAACAAACAGGTTTATCATTACTTTGAGAAAAAAATATTATTAATTTAACCCTTGTTAGAAGGGAAGATATGGTCATTTGTTCTGGGAATGCCATTTTCGAGCCTGAAACCTGAAAAACAGGCTCAGGGCTTAACAGGTTAAGTGTTGGCACCCCCCGAAGAGGCACAAGCTCTTACGTTGATATTGGAGATTTCAATAAATTCAATCACAAACGAAAAACGAATATCCGAATAACAAAATTGAAACCCGAATATTACTCCAACAAACATACTGTTGGAACCAAGGTAACACAGTCTCCAGGCGACATTGCTTCATGTCCCCGAGTACTATTGCCGGTGCATCGGGGTGGCTGAGTTGCAGCTCGTGAACACGGTCAGCGATCGAGCCGGCCACCAGTGAAAATTAATCCTCTTTTTTTTCTCAAAGTAATGATAAACCTGTGAGTTGGATATAGAAAAGTCAGAATCAATATTGATTTTTATTAACCCTAACCCTAACCCTACTTAAACAAAATGTAAATTATTGTGTCCGTCAAAAATAAAAACATTACTTATAGTGAAAACCACCCTTGGATGATGGGATCGGAGACTATAAGCTTTAGGAATCCAAAGTACAACATATAATAAGAGCCCTGTATCAAGATTGATGCAAAACAAGTGACATTTGACCTTTTTAGAGAGGTTTAGCAAAATAAACTCCACCTCTGGGGTCATCTGGGGACATTTCTTTTGAACCGTTAGAGGCAATAGAATCGAAGGGGAATTTCCACATACACACACACACGTTACCATTGATAAGTCAGAGCTATGCACACACAGTTTGCCCAAAGCTAAACCTATCTTCCGCTCTGAAATCTGAAAACTTAAAACTAAGTTTATTGCTGATGGATTATCAGAAATCATTTCAAAGAGACACAGACACATTGGACTAACCTATGGATTAACCTTGAGCAGCGTTTTTATCGTTTTAATGCCATTGAAGACAACGTTTGATCAGACAACAAGAAAGGTAAGAGATATTGCTGTGTTGGCTACCTTATGCCACGTGTCGTGATGTCTGTTTTTGTTTCTCATGTCGCGAGTTTTGATCATGGAGTGATTATACCAATACCTATCGAATCTGTGTAATCTCATGATGCTAATCGATGGGTTGGATTTGCATTTACGCCGTGAGTTCTTTGCTAACGGCGTTAGCATTTTTTCGCTCAGGGCTAATTTAGAGGCTCAGCGTTAGTCTTGTGTTTTGTTTAGCTAAAAATGGTTCATATCATCAGTGTTGTAGCAGCTTTCTAAACAGCTGTGGTCTAGAGAGAATAATCAGTAAGGTAACAAACGTACAGCAACACAATATTCGTATTAAAAGCAATAAGGATCTTTTATACTTGCAAGTATGATGTCTCCTCCAAAAGAGCACGTACTGTTCAGAGTGAAACAGGCTCTCTTTATAGGAGGACATCAAAGCAGATTTACATTACAACAACATTCTGGGAGGCCAGCTGATACCCCCTCTGGCACAGTATGCAAAACCATCACTCCATACAAGACAATGGGATATACAGATACCCCTCAGACACAGTATGCAAAACCTTCACTCAATACAGAGCAAAAGGGATACAGATAACGCCTTATCCTAACTTCCTTCCCCTCATCCTTCCTGTAGTGTCATAAAACCCCTTGCAAAAACATCTGTTGATCACTCACACATTCAAAGGTCACTCCAGGGATTTGACCTAATCAGTCAAACCATTGACATGACATTTTCAGAATATAGCAGTTTACATTTCATTAGGTTTACACTGTAGTAAGCTAATTAGTACCATACGTTCCATCACATCAGTTAGCTGAGTTTCTTCCCGTTACATAGATATGAAACATTGATAGTTTATTAAATCTTAAGAAGCCCTCAGACACTGTTGCTTGCAGATGTTGTGGTTTCTCCCCCGCCCGCGGCGGAATGGAGCTTAACAGGTTAATATACACACAAATGCCGCCTACTCTGGTTTTCCCCGAGTTCGCATCACTGTCTGCTCGAACAAGGGTGAATCCGGTTACCTCAAAGAGAGATTCATGCATTGTAGATTGTAGTCAACTTTCCGTGAAACATAATAAAGAGGCCTCACGAAATTCATGACAGTACCTTGTGTATGTCCTTAGTGTGTCCACTTTGTTGCTCAATGAGCGCAGGTTTGTGAGAATGATGGATAGAACTGGTGGCCGGCTGAATCTCCGCCGTAGGCGATTCTGAACGTCTCCCCTCCTTCCTCGTCTCTTTTTCCTGGTGTTTCTAAGCGACTCCCGAGGGATGTCATCCAATATTGAAGAGCACAGATGGCTTGACGTATTCGTATGATGCCGATCGCATTGTAGCTCCAGCATAGCCTCACGGCTGTAGAGGCCGGGGCTCCTTGCCATACCTGCTTGTGCCGTCACTCAGGTGTTTCTTGGAAAGTTGTATGGCCAGACATGGTCTGCAGAAGGCAAATGTAATCCACAGGATCAAAAGCATGGTCTCTCAAAATGACATTTCATACAGATACAACAACGTTTAAACAATAATTAGACCAAACAAAACAGAAGACGAACGGAACATACTGAGACGTGCAGTGACAGGATGCAATGGGTGTGTGTTGTTAAAATGTTGCAGCCTGCAATCGCTCTTTATCTTCTTCTAATGAAGGTAAACACAGTGAAGTAAACAGTAAAAGGCACAGTTATTTGCAGCTGGTGCTTTTCTTCTCAGATTCTGCTGAGTTACACATTACTGCCTCCTGGTGCTGCAAAGATTTCATGAAGTGAAGGAGGTTTTCCTTCTATAAAACAGCTGTGGGCAGCAGATACTGTGAGAGTCACAGACATGAATTCATAGATCAGGGCAGACTGGTTCACACACTCTCCTGTTTTGCCGATCCGGTGCTTAAACAAATGGCTCTACACCCCTGGCAGAAATGTCCCTAAAATGAAGTCCGACTTCGAAATATATCTCAAATAATGTATGCACTGCAATTTCCCCAAATAAACATAACAGTCTGCAACAAAACGTCTGTCTCCTATGCATTCCACTTCCTACTTGGCGCACCGGTAACTTTCTCCTGCAAATTTTTTTTTCATTGCCCTTTTAGGGGCTTCGTACAATGCAAATATTTTCTTTTAGAATGTAAAGTCCTTTCGAGTCATCTGTCTCGAGCCTAAGTCGAGCCTCAAGTCATGAATACCAAGTCAAAGTCAAGTCGAGGATTTTATCAATGTTAGTCAAGCAAGTCTCAAGTCCAAAAATATGTGGCTCGAGTCAAGTTATGTGACTCGAATTCCCGACCTTTTGTATTTACTGTGGTTAAAATGTTGCTGTTACTGTATCTAATATAATAAACACAACAGCTAGTAAAAGTAGTATTCCGTTAACTCAATGTTTGTATTAAGTGAGTTTTTATTGTGTTAACTGTATATGTATTTATGCTTTTTAGTTTTACTTTCTCTCTTTCTTTGTCCGTCTGTTCTAGAAACCGAAAGGAAGAGAGAGACGTCACAGCTGTCAGCAATGTGACAAATCCTTTACAATATCTGGAAATTTAAAGCGACACCTGCTTATTCATACTGGAGAAAAACCGTACAGCTGTGAATACTGTGGGACAAGTTTCACTACATCAGGTCATCTAAAAAAACATCAACGTATTCACACTGGAGAAAAACCGTACAGCTGTGAAGACTGTGGGAAAACTTTCGCTCAATCAGGTGCTCTCAAATCACATCAACGTATTCACACTGGAGATAAGCCGTACAGCTGTGAAGACTGTGGGAAAACGTTTGCTCAATCAGGTGCTCTCAAATCACATCACCGTATTCACACTGGAGAAAAACCATACAGCTGTGAAGAGTGTGGGAAAACATTCACTGCATCAAGTTATCTCAAAATACATCAACGTATTCACACTGGAGAAAAACCGTACTGGTGTGAAGAGTGTGGGAAAATGTTCACTGCATCAAGTGATCTCAAAAAACATCAACGTATTCACACTGGAGTAAAACCGTATTGGTGTGAAGACTGTGGGAAAACGTTCACTACATCAGGTGATCTCAAAATACATCAACGTATTCATACTGGAGAGAAACCGTACAGCTGTGAAGATTGTGGGAAACCGTTCATTTCATCAAGTGCTCTCAAAAAACATCAACGTATTCACACTGGAGAAAAAAGTACAGCTGGGAAGAGTGTGGGAAAAACGTTCAGGACATCAAGTAAACTCACAATCCAGGGCTCGACATTATAAATGGCCCGCTGGCCCGGAAGCACTATTTAGACACCCCGGGTCACTATAACGTATTTTCCACTTGCCCGCTCGGGCCACTAAAAATATTGTTTAAAAAAAAATGTTTCCTGTGGTATTGATATACTTCACTACAGACTATCGCGCCACCTTACCATTCGCCAAAATGTTTTTAATACCAGCGGTAGCCGGCCAAGCGCCGGGCAAAAAACGATCTTCAAATAAAAGAAAGTCACCGGAGGAGTTAAAGGAGAGTGACAGGGAGAGGAGAAGAAGAGGGAGAGAAAGTTTCCGCCAGCTTGATCGATGGAGTTGGCTTCTAGTGGTGTAGTGACGCGTCCTAAAACCCTTTTATAATCTATCGGTTAGATTTATGATTCGAAAATTATAAAAGTAGGGTAGACATGTGGAGATTATCCGGCTGAACAAAACGTGCATTCATCAAACAGGTTTGTTTTCCACAGACCTTATTTCCAGCTATTTTCCAAAACCCTGTGGAGAAATCCCATTACTTTTTGTCGAGAGAACTAGCAGCTTACTTCCTGGTTTCAGGATGCGTCACTGGCTGCATCTCTCAATATGATGCCAATACAAACAAGGTCTTCTGTCGGCTCTGTACATCAATGCCGACCTATGCTGACAGTAAGTGAAGAGTAGACAATATAAAGGTATTGGCTTTAAGGAAATGTCCCAGCAGTTTAGGATAATGAAGAATCTAATCTATAGCCATTACATTTCTAACTCCTAATGACAGGAAGGCAGAAAGTGCATGAAATAAATAATAATACTCATAATAATAGCAGAATCTTTTTAACAATGACCACAATATCATTATTTTAATAAACCAAATATGAACAATTGAGGAAAATGAGGAAGAACTGATTGTTCAAATGTTGTAGTAATGTAGTTAGTGCATAAATTACTATTGCAACAAATGTGTTAATTTTCTTCATTATTAATCGATTATTTTTTTTTGGACGAATGCTCCGGGCCAGTGGTTACAATGGTGGGGCCAGTGATAATACAATTCCACCGGCCCGGAGGGCCAGTTGCTTTTTACCCTTAATGTCTACCCCTGCAATCCATCACCGTGTTCACACAGGAGAGAAACCATAGTGATTTTAAGAGTGTGGGAAAACGTTTTCTCAAAGTATTCACCTTAAAAACACATCATCTGCAGGAAACAGCGTCTGAGGGCATCTTAATATTCAATAAACTATGAATGTCTTATATCCATGTAACGGGAAGAAACTCAGCTAACTGATCTTTTTTTTTCTTCTTTTTTTTTTTTTTAAACCTACAAAGCTAGCGCTGAGCATATGAATTAGCCACGAGCGGGGAAAAAAACGCATTACTCCACAGAAACTCACTCATAACACCCATATTACTTATCTTAACTGCACATCTAACATATTGACTAGCATCGTGAGATGGCACAGAATCGATAGGTACATACATCATCACTCTATGATAAGAACTATCGAAGATATTAACAAGAACAGACATCAAAACATGTGGCGCTAGGTAGCTAAAAACGGCAAAATGGCTTACCTTTGTCGCTGTGTGGTCAAAAGTGGTCTTCAATGGCATTAAAACGATAAAAACGTTGCTGAAGGTTAATCCAATGTGTCTGGAGGTTAATCCATAGATTAATCCAATGTGTCTGTTGAAATTATTCCTGATAATCCATAAGCAATAAACCTGCTTTTCCGTTTCCAGATATCGGAGCGAGAGATAGGTTCGCTCATGCAAAACTGTGTGCGCATAGCTTTAATTTCTCAATGGTAACGTCTGTGTGTGTGTATATGTGGAAATCCTTCTTCGATTCTATTGGCTCTAACGGTCAAAAAGATATGTCAATCACCAAAATCGACTTATGGGCTCCAGAGAAACGGTAAAAACAGCCATTTCCACCAAATCACCTCAGAGGTGGTTTTTTTTGTTGCTAAACCTTTCTAAAAAGGTAAAATGTCACTTGTTTTGCATCAATCTTGATACAGGGTACTTATTGTAATTTGGATTCCTAAAGCTTTTAGTCTACCTTACCATCATCCAAGGGTAGTTTTCACTGTAAGTAAGACCTGAAAAACAGGCTCAGGGCTTAACATGTTAAAGTCCATTAGCCATTCTGCATAGTTTTGAACAACTGAGAGCCAAGCTAGCTGTTTCCTCCTGGTGTCCTGAGAGCTGTAGTTATATTTTAAGAGTCTTTCTGAATTGAAGTCTGACTAACAGACTTCAATTCAGTCAATCTCGTTTCATGTGCCAGGACAAGCCCTGAGGTCCTCCTCGGCTTTTTAAATATCCCTAAATTCCCCAAAATAAAATGGGTGAGGCTTTTATCCACTACGCTCCCAAACTGTGGAACACCAGGAAATATCAGAGGCTCAGTGTACATTTTAAAATCTCTTTAAATTAGCTTTTTATTAGCAACCCCCCACTTTAAATGGTCTTTCAGTCTTTATTATTTACCTACTTTTATATTTCATTTATGATATAGGAAGGGTTTTATCTTATATTAGTTATTTAACAGTTTCAATACCAACATTTATTTTTACGTTGGTTTCTTTATATTTTAATCGTTTAACCTTTATTAGAATTATGATGTTTTTATTTCTGTTGTACCTATATGCTCACTTTATTTTATAGGGTTTCATATTGTTGCATATATTCACTTTTTTTTAGTCTTATCTTTCCGAGATAAATCATTTCTTTCGTTATTATCATATATTTTACCTCCTTGTGTATCCTAACCTGTTACAATGTTATATTTTGCTGCATGTGTCTTTAAAGGTCTTAACATCTGAGGGGACTTTCTTGTTGTTTATTTTTAACTTGTGATGTGTCGCCATTTTGTAAAGCACTTTGAGCTGCACGTGCTGTATGAAAAGTTTTACTATGCTGTGTTTAAACCATGGATTTATATCTCAACTGCTAGCCTCGTTAATATGCATTGAAGGAATTTAGTTTCACTGTTCATTAATCTGCAGAGTAATTTCTCCAATAATCTGTTTGGTTGATCAAATGTTGTGACTTTAAACTTCTATAGGGATGTTTTTGATAGTTCCTGTTGAGTTAGCAGTCTGTTCTGGGTTGCAGTGAAATTGTCCAAAAATCAGTTCCTATCGTCTTTTCCTATCCACTATTCCCGGGGTTAATGCCTTTACGATCAATCAATCAATGTTTATTTATATATCACAAATGTTACATTTGTCTCAGTGGACTTTACAGTTTGTACAAAATATCAGTATGATAATACGACACCCTCTGTCCTTAGACCCTCACATCGTACAAGGAAAAACTTCCGGAGAAAACCCACAGTTTAAAGGGAAAATGGGAGAAACCTCAGGGAGAGCAACAGAGGAGGGATCCCTCTCCCAGGACGGACAGACGTGCAATAGATGCCGTGTGTAAATTGAAAAGATAATACATTTGCAACATAGGTAGTCCAAATGTTTGGAAATGCATGTGTGTGTATAATAGGAAGATTAATCCACGAGGATATCCATCCAGGACCTATGATCCAGGACCACAGCCACAACTCAAGATCCAGGGCTTGCGATCCAGGACAGAGGAGCACAGGATCATCCATGACTCCGGATCCCGGCGTATATAGACACCAAAAAGAAAGACATTTGGGGAAGCTGGGTTAATCGGAACATGAGAGTACACAGGTATAGACAGAGAGAAGGAAGAAGTAAGATGTCCCCCGACAAACTAAGCCTATATCAGCAAAACTAGGGGCTGAATCTAATCAGCCCTAACTATAAGCTTTATCAAAAAGGAAGGTCTTAAGCGCACTCTTAAAAACGGATAGGGTGTCTGTCGCCCGAACACAAACTGGAAGCTGATTCCACAAATGTGGAGCTTGATAAGAAAAGGCTCTGGCTCCCATTGTACTTTTAGAGACTCTAGGAACAACCAACAACCCTGCATTCTTGGAACGCAATGCCCTAGTAGGACAGTAGGGTATAATGAGTTCTTTAAGGTAAGATGTCGCCTGCCCATTAAGGGCTTTGTAGGCGAGAAGAATAATTTTAAATTATATCCTGTGTTCTATAGGGAGCCAGTGTAAGGCAGCCAGAACAGGAGTAATGTGGTCTCTTTTCCTAACTCTGGTTAGTACACGAGCTGCAGCATTTTGAATCAGCTGAAGCGACTTGACTGACTTCTTGGTACACCCTGATAATAAAGAGTTACAATAATCCAGCCTTGAAGTAACAAATGCATGGACTAGTTTCTCTGCATCGTTTTGAGGCAAGATATGCCTGATTTTTGCAATGTTACGTTGATGGAAGTAGGCGGTCCTTGAAATTGATTTTATGTGGGCGTTAAAGGATAAATCCTGATCAATTATAACACCAAGATTCCTTACAGTCTCACTGGAGGCCAAATTAATGCCATCCATAGTTAGTATATCCTTAGATAATTTGTTTCGTAGATTCTTCGGGCCAAGTACAATAACTTCAGTTTTGGTCGTGTTTAACATCAAAAAGTTTAAGGTCATCCACGTTTTTAAGTCCTTAAGGCAGTCTTGAATTTTATTTAGATGATTAATTTAATCAGGCTTGATTGATAAATATAGTTGAGTATCATCCGCATAACAATGAAAATGTACAGAATGATTCCTTATAATATTGCCTAACGGAAGCATATATAATGTGAACAAAATAGGTCCGAGCACTGAGCCCTGTGGCACTCCATGGCTAACTTTGGTTTGCGTGGAAGATTCATCATTGACACGTACAAACAGAGCGTTCAGATAGATAGGACCTAAACCAGCCTAAAGCAGTTCCCTGTATGCCAACTAAGTGCTCTAGTCTTTGCAATAAGATATCATGGTCGATAGTATCAAATGCAGCACTGAGATCGAGCAAAACAAGAATAGAGACACGTCCCTTGTCAGAGGCTATTAGAATGTCATTTGTGACTTTAACCAGAGCTGTCTCTGTGCTATGATGTGTTCTAAAGCCAGACTGAAAATCTTCAAATAAATCATTGTTTTTTAAGTAATCACACAGCTGTTTTGCGACCGCTTTCTCAAGAATTTTTGAGAGGAACGGAAGATTGGAAATAGGTCTATAATTGGCTAAAACCTCTGGATCGAGGTTGTGCTTTTTAAGAAGCGGTTTTATCACTGCTACTTTGAATGATTGTGGAACATTTCCGTGCACCACTGAACTCCGAGAGCTCTTTCAACAGGTAGGGTACTTTTATCCAGATCCAGATCC